TGTGTGTGTGTGTGTGTGTGTGTGTGTGTGTGTGTGTGTGTGTGTGTGTGTGTGTGTCCTCTGAGCTCCAGGAAATAAAGTGTGGGAGTGGATCAGCTCCAACCCGTCCTATATAAAGCAACATACGTATATGCTGCATTATGGATGAACACAGCTCATCTCCATTGTATAAACTTCATGAAGTATGGTGGGAGCCTGAAGGCAGAAAAATATTCATACAGGAACTAAGCGCAACACACTCTCACAAAGACTGCATTTAAAAAAATGGAATAGAGTTTTTTTTTTCCTTTCTGTATAAATCTGTTCACAAAACAAAAGGCTTTAAAAAACTTCTCCTTGTGACCCCCGACCCCTGACCCTWGGCCTTTGACCACCTGACTGAGAACACTCCACAAACTATTTACCATGAATCTTGAGGGGGAAAAAAACATTTCCTTTCATTTTAAACGCCCCACTTCTTTGTTGTGATGCACTTATTTTGCATTTTAAATCTTCATTAAAAAAATTTTCACTACTTTTTAGTGTTTTGCGTTGACAACATTAATTGTCTGCTGCACAGGAGGGCAGTGTTGCACACATTTCTGGAAATWTGTTCCGTCGTTTCAATGTTTTCCAGCTGTTCTTTGTTAGAAAGCTCCAGTTTTACCTAAAAAAAATGGTAAATCTATAAATATAACTGTTACTTTTCTGGATTCAAAATAAGAAAATGGGCAACAGGCTTAACCATGCCATGATTACATTTTTGGAAACTTTTTCAAAAAAAAAAAAAGAGTATTTTTGGTGTAACAATATATGTTCACGTGCCATTTCTAATAGGCCATTTTGCGAACAGGCACATACAAACAAACATAATCACATTTAGAGGTGGAGATATATTTAGTTAGGTCTTTTTAGCTACTTTTTTACTTCATCTTGACACTGATTTTCAGTCCTTAAGTGAGTCCTGTAAAGGAAGTTTACTTTTTGAGTTTTTGCTCCAGAATTTCTACGTTTCTTTTGAAGTTTTCCAGACCATAACATGTAACACAAGGAACCCGGATGAAGGCCGGCACTATCTGAACATAAACACCATCAGTTGTGTGTTCCCACATTGTCTGCTGTCTTTAAAAAAAATCTAAACTCCTGCTTCTCCTTTTCCTGGTTCTGAACTCCAAACAAAGCCTGGCTGTCTTGTTTACATCCAGCCCCGCACCAAACTTTTTTTTCTTTTCTCACAACCGCTTCTTTCAGGATTTCYGACCCTCCCCCTCTCTCCACATATATAAATACATATATGTCCCACCCTCCGCAAAAACTTCACCGCCCTGGTTTTCTACCCCACCTCCAGTCTTATGACTGCCTCTCGAACACACACACACACACACACACACACACACACACACACACACACACACACACA